ATAAGAGGGGCTTGTTGGTGCCTTTCCTATTGTAACATTTACCCTACGTTATCTTTACAGCCATCATGATAGATCTGTTCCAGGAAGGAGCCACCATGTCAAATTCTTTAGGCAGTTAGTGGGGGAGGTCAAATGTCCCTGGAGAAAACAACCAAGGTAAAGAGATAGATTTCAGGGTGGCCAAATCTTGATCTCCCACAGAACATTAAGTTATAAACCAGTCTACGCATGTAGCCTCAAGTAGGCAAGAATGTGGAACACATACTGATGACAAGAGTCTATACTTTGAACCAAAAGATACAGAGTGGTGGAATGGTATGTTTCAGGAATCAGTCCAGACGTTAGTTTTTCCAAGCAACTACCGAACCGATATAATGGGGTGCATTTTTCTTTGAAAGAGTCTATAGAATCGTTTTCTAGAAAGTATAGGTGCAATATTATGATTTATAAGAATAAATCATATATATTTGGTTTTCATCCACAGTTCCTGTATGACAGCTCCCAAAACCAGTGGAATTTCCTGAGTGTTGAGAGTGATGAAGATGTCTTTTGTTGTGTTAATGAAGTGACTAAGGATGGGGGCTGGTAGCCAATGGAGTCAAGCCAGTGATTAGAGGGTGGGAACTCTCAGTCCTCCCCCCCATCTCCAGAGAGGCATGAGGAGCTGGAGGTTGAATCAATCACCAATGGCTAATGATTTTAATCAATCATGCCTCTGTAATGAAGCCTCCATAAAAACCCTAAAGGATGGGGTTCAGAGAGCTTCTGGGTTGGAGATCTGGGGGAGACTGGCACACAATGGGAGGGCATGAAAGCTCCGAGCCCATTCCTCATACTGAGAATAAGCAAGGGCTCGATCTGCTCACCAGCAGACACAAGCCAATCTGTCAAGGGGCAAGGCGGTGTAGAGAGAAAACTTTATTAAGCGATGAGCTAGCTGATAGGAAGATGGCGGACTATCGTCCTAAATACACCATCTTAAAGGGGAATGGAAGGGAAATGGGGTGGGGGAGGGGGCTCAGGAGGGTCAGATGTTGGATGAGCACAGACCTTGGGGCGTCTCTCAGTAGACAAAAGTTTTGGATCTGCTGAATGCGACATTCCTGAGGAATCTAAGAAAACTTTAGTTAGGGCTGGCCCCCTGGTCTAGCGGTTAAGTTCGGTGTGTTCCACTTCGGTGGGTCGGGTTTGGTTCCCGGGTGTAGACCTACACCACTCATCGGCGGCCATGCTGTGGTGACCCACATACAAAACAGAGGAAGATTGGCACAGATGTTAGCTCAGGTCGAATCTTCCTCAGCAACAACAAAAAAGAAAACTTTAGTTATTTCCTTATCGGGGAGAGAAGGAACAGTTTGCGCAGAGGACTTAAATCTTCTGCTAACAAGTCATTCTCTCTACTGGTTACTGATTAGTTTGCCTGTTTCCAGTTCTAAGTGTTCCTTCAAAGCACACTGTGAGAAGAAGATGGGGGAGGCAGGGGTTTAGACATGGGGCCTCTCATGCTAACTCGGTCTTAATACCTTGTCCTGTACATCACTTCCTGGCTGTTCCTGAGTTATATCCTTTTATAAGAAACCGGTGATCTAATAAGTAAAATGTTTCTCTGAGGTCTGTGAGCTGCTCTAGTAAATTAACTGAACCCAAGGAGGGGGTCGTTGGTACCTCCAAGCTGTTGCCAGTGGGTCAGAAGCACAGGTGACAACCTGGGCTTGTGACTGGCGTCTGAAGAGGAGGGGGTGCGTCTTCTAGGACTGAGCCCTTCAACTGTGCAGTCTGATGCTAATCTCCGGGCAGAGATGTCAGAATTGAGGTGAATTCTCAGGCACCAGTAGGGTGCAGTGGCCTGGTGCCGTGGGGGAAACTCCCCACACATTGGATTTGCTGCTCAGAACCAATTTAATAGGTACCTGTACTAATGTTTTCATATGAAGAACATAATGTCTTTGTAATTTTAAAGGCAACTGTGAAGTAAAACTCTTTCACCTGCTGGTGAAAAAACAACAGATACTGGGAGTGATGTTCCTGACAGGCTGGGAGGACAGGCCAAGCCACTGCTCCCGTAGAACCTGCCAGGACAAGAGACTCAAAGACAAATGGCTTTGCTCACACTCAGGGTTGCCTGAGGCTGGAGCCAGCAGGATCCATGTGCCCGAAGAGCCCAGGGAGGGGGTGGGTGTGGGTTGGCGGGTAGCTTTCAGCCAAAGTGAAGTTGCCATCCTTCAGAACGGGCACCCTGCTCATCCTGTGACTTGGGCTAAATTCTTGTTCAGATTATGCCCTAGGGCAGGGGTTTAGGACACAGGTGGTCAGATGGGACCAGGGCCAGGAATCCACCATCCCTCTACCTCCTCCCAAGCTGGCCCACTCAGCTGCCCAAATCACCATACTGGCAAGGTTTGGGACCCACCTGTTACAGACTGGATGTCTGTGTCCCCATCACCCTCCCAAATTCATATGATGAATTCTTAACCCCCAAGGTGATGGCATTAGGAGGTGGGATCTTTAGAGGTGATTAGGTCATGAGGGTGGGAATCTCATGAATGGGATTAGTGCCCTTATAAAAGAGACTGCAGAGAACTCTCTAGCCCCTTCTGCCATGTGAGGACAAGGAGAGAAGATGGCCATCTATGAACCAGGAAATGGGATCTCATCAGACACTGAATCTACTGGCAGCTTGATTTTGCGTTTCACAACCTCCAGAAGTGTGAGAAATAAATCTTTGTCATCCCAGCCACCCAGTCTATGGAGTTTTTGTTATAGCAACTCAAGCTGTCTAAGACATTACCCGAGGTTCACAGGGAGGGGACATGGGGAGGTGGCTGTGTTCTGACATAACCACCTTCCCTCGGGGTAAGGGAGCCTGCCAGGCACAGAGACAGATGGGAGGGAGCCAGAAAGTTCTAGGCTCAGAGAAGGGGGTGGGGGTGAGGAGGGGGGTGTGGCACGGGAGGGGCAGGACCTGTGAGCAGCTCTGCAGTGTCCAGCTCGGAGGGGATGCCATTCCTCCTGGACAAGATGTGACAGTGCAGCCAGGCTGGGACAGCAGGTCCCAGGCCCATGGTGGGGCAGGACATTGTGACCGGCATAGAGATCTGAGGGCAGGGAGAGATATTACCCTCAATTGTGACCAGAGCCACTGGGGTGCTGCCACGGCTTCCCAGAGCTCAGGCTTCACCAGGAGGGCAGCGGGAGGCTGACTCTTTCACTGCCTGGAAGGACATGCCAAAACGAGGTTGCAGGAAAGAAAAAAATCAAAACTGAAACCCAGCAACGAGCTCGAGGCTTAGGAGGCAAGTCAGGGGAACAAAGAAGCACATCGAGCCATCCACTAAAGCTAGTCCACTTCAGGGACTTGAAGATAGCAGTCTTTCTCTCAACCCCTTTCCATCACCGTCAGGATGTCATCCCAGGTAGTTGGGGGTGACTACACCAGGGGTTGAGCCTAGCGTTCCACAGCCGGTATTCGGGATGCCAGTATGGTCCTGAAGCCAATGTCTTCTTATCTCCTGTTTGGTTGAACTCCCTCACTGTGGCGCACCCCATCTTTGTTAGGAAGCTGAGGGAAGGTGCACGACTGATGTTTCCTACCTTCCCAGGGGAGTGCTATTTGGGCTGGGTATAAAACATGAGGTGGGAAACCCACGTGCCTCAGAATTGTTTTGCTTTTCTAGCATTCCAGTTCAACTAGATGGAGCCATTCTGATTCCCAGGCAGAAATGGCCACAGGGATGCTATCGGCCACCAGCTTCTCCCACAGAGGGATTTAGACCACCGAGTGGGTGCAAAGAATTCTAAGATGGCTGGAGACATCTGGAATTCAGATGAATATACTGGAGTTATAGAGCATTAGAGACAGGTTCAGCCCCGTCCTGTAGACACCAGATGCCATACAGTAGGTGGGAAGCTGGAGGAGGTCAAAGGTTCCTGACACAGTCAACATCACCACACCAACGGGTCTTTGCTCAGGCGGCAGCAACAGTCCTCCAATAACTGCAGTTGAACCGGGATTAACGTTTTTCCAACACTCCCAGGACCGGTTTTGTCATTCACCTTGAGAGGTACGGCACCCTCCATCTGGTGCCCCTTCTCCAAGGTCTGAGCTCAGCCCCCCGGGGCCCTCCTTGGTGTTCTGGAGGCAGCAGCACCCTCCTCAGAAGTCTGAGTTCCACAGGGCCTCTCCTCCAGCACCTAGATTCTAATAATTCCAATTTCCTCCCAAGTCCCTCAGCCCTAGGGGGAGTGGCTGCCTCTGTGATCATCTGCGTCTTCTCTGACTTCAGGGTTCTCTAATGCCTGGTTACCAACTCTTCATATAAAATCCTCTCTGTTGAAGTAACTGTTGTGGGCTCCATCCCACGGATAGTCTCCGACTGACACACCTGGAGGTTTGCGTGACAATCTATAACCCCACAGTTTGCTGTTTCTTCTGAAACTGTGCAGGGAAACAGGAGTGCTTGTTCAAAGACTATTAGTACGTCTTGTGAAACATCATCTATATCCTTTACTAGTTTGCAATTCTAATTGCTTTCTTACTCAATATTTTGTTGTCCTGGTAATAATGCTATATTGACCTGTCATCTGTGAGGTTACTTTGGTTAACTATGAGGAGTGTTACTGGAACAAACTTTTATATAATACAACAATGTAATAAAACCAATAATTCCTGGTTCCTTGATCAAAGTGTTCAGAATCTTCTTTATATTTCAAAGACCAGTGACATTTGCTGATTTTTAGTTGCTTTGTTTTGCTTCCTGTTAGTGAATTCTAGGGGCTCTTTGTATATGGTGGATTTTAGTCTTCTACTGATTATGTCTGCTGCACTTGAGGAGAAGCACTGCCAAGGACACGAGGTGTCCTGCCTGTGCACTGTTCCTCCTGGAGCCAGAGACAAGAAACTGAGTCAAGACGGAAAAGATGAAAAGGGGAAGGTAAGAAACGTTAGGAATCTTTATTGCTAATCTCCTGGCATCCAACCATCAGCCCCCATCCCAGACTCCTCAGGGGATCCTGGAAATATGACGCAGCACAAACGGATAGGCTTCTGGGAGGGTCACCAGGAATGTTTTGCTGGCTGCCCGTTCCAGGATGTTCAAGATGGGGCCGTGGGCCTCCTGGCACAACCCAGCACCCAGGAAAGTTTCCACTCGCTCACGCCATGCTGCCAGTCGAGGCCGTCCCTCAAATACGTCACAGCCAACAGCCACGGGCTGTGGGGACAAGGATGGGACAGTTGTGGGGATACTGAGGTCCCAATGCCAGCAGGACTGGCACAGGTGTCTGGTCCTTTCCCCAGCCCCCAGGTGAGCCCAGGGCAGTGTGGCCAGCCTCAGGGCCCAAGAGCACCAGGGTGAAACCCCACAGCCAGGAGGGCTGCTGGAGGTCAGAGCTCCAGCACCAGGTCAGCTGGAAACTTGCTCAGTGATTCTGGGCAAAGTCCTGACTTTCTCTAGGGCTCAGTGTTTCTGGCTGTCTAATGGGGGTGGCAGTAGGAGGGACGCTGCTCCGCCAGCGAGCTCGCACCTGCACCAGCTCCTCCAGTGCCATGAGGTCAGCCAGCGTCACTTGCTGGCTGGTGAGGAAGGCCCTGTTCCCCAGGAACTTGTCCTCCAGCTGCTGCAGGGCCTGGTCCATGGCGGTCCTGTTGCGCCTCACCTTCTCCTCTGGCACCTGGGTCCCAGTGAGCGGCATAATCACCTGACGGGGACAAAGGGTGGCCTCAGTCTGTGGCCCCTGCCTCCTCCCGGTCCCGGACAGTCAGCCACTCCCCACACGGCTCTCCTTACCTGGGTCCACGGGGGCACACCAAAGGTGCCACGGATGCAGTCGGCATGCCAGCCCAGGTACTCATGGATGCGGGCGCGGGCCTGCAGGTCGGCTGGGTACCAGTGGTCCGCTGTCTGGTACTTAGCGCTCAGGAAAATCAGAATGGCCACGCTGGGGACAGGGGCAGGAGCCATGGCTGAGGACCCTGGCTCGTGCTCGTGGAGCCCTGAGGCTTGTCTGCATTTGATGGCCTCCCCTCCCCAGCTCCCTGGGCACTGCCTCCTCTCTCTCCTCTCACGGTGCCCTCCTGACTATCCTCCCTCCTTTGATGTCTCGAGCACTGACTCTTGGCAGGACCTTTTGCTTTGCACTTTAAGAATCTCATCTCTGGAGCCTGCCCTGATGGCCCAGTGGTGAAAAGTTTGGCAGCCCGGGTTTGGTTCCCTGTCTCAGAACCACACTTGTCTGTCAGTAGCTATGCTGTGGCAGAGGCTCACATAGAAGAACTAGAAGGACTTACAACTAGAATATACAACTATGTACTGGGGCTTTGGGGAGGAAAAAACAAAACCAATCTCATCTCTGTGACATTCCAGCAGCTGCCCTATGAGGGAGACTTCTCCCCACGAGACTAAGGCTCAGAATACTTAAGTGACTTGTTCAAGGCTGCACAGCTCAGAAAAGGCTCCCTGGGCCCCTGGAACCCTGCATGGGGCTGGCACACAGCGGGTCCTCAATGGAGTCCCTGGCATGTCCCAGTGCATGGGGTGGGGACCAGGAGGGGAAGCACGTCCTCAGGTCTGTGGCGCATCCCTTCTGACAGGTCCCCCAGCCATCAGTCCTGTAGCCGCCTGGCCTCCTGGCCTCTTCCCGCCTGGGGGCTGGCCCTCACCACCAGCTGCACCCTCAGGCCCTGGCAGATCCTGGGCAGTAGCCTGAGGAGTCAAGAGAGGCCCTTTCAGCTGCTGTTGTTGAAGCTACTCTGTCCAACACTGGACAAATGTCCCCGTGTCCTCTCTTCTAATGCCCCGGAGTCGGGGGTGGAGAGGCCCCGGGGTCGAGAAGAGGTGGCTGAGGACAACAGAGGAGCAGACAGGCTGTGTCGGCCCCTGGTCATCCTGTGCTCCCCCAGGCAGTCTGCTGCCCCACACCCCTCACCTTGGCCCTCACTGCCCCTCAGGGTCTGGGAGGGCCCACGGTGGGAGAGCCAGGGGCCGGGTGGGCTGGGGCTTAGGAGGCGGGAGGGAAGGAGAGCACCTTTCGGTCAAGACGAAGTCCCCGTCCTGGAGGGTGGGCAGCCTCTGCAGGCTGTTAACCTGGAGGAACTTGTGGCTCAGGTGCTGTCCTGAGGAGGAGTCAGGAAGGGCCTGCAGGGCAAGAGCCACACCCGCCCTGCCCTCCCTCCCCTCCCCACCCAGAGCCCCAGAGCAGGCTGGCCTGAGAAACAGCAGGGTCTGGGCACAGGGCCGGCTCTGCCCCAGTCCCCGTGTGGGCCTCCTCGGCTGGGCCTCCCTGCCCTGCACCTCCCAGGGCAGCCGAGGGGCTGTGGTGGGTGCAGGAGTTGCTGTGGTTGAGGGAAGAGAAGTCACGGAGCTAGGACTGGGGGCTCAGCTCTTCCCATCTCTCAGTTCTCACAAAAAGCATGGCGTGCTCCCCGAGGTCTTGAGTGTTCATGCCTTTAAATACCTGCTTTCAAGACAGGAACTCTGAAAATCCTCTTAAGTGTCTTCTCTCCACCCCAGAGTAGAAGATCACCTTATCCTCCTTTCCAGAGTGGAAAGCTAATGTTCAGGGAGGGCCTGTGACTTGTCCAAGGCCACACAGCTGAGGGCATTCTCCCATGGGAGGCTCTGTGGGCGATGAGGGGGCTGTGCGGGCCGTGGGGGCTGTGGGGACACTCAGGGAGTTGCCGGCCGAGGGGCCTGTGGGTGCACCGGGCCTGTGGACACCTGGGGAGCCGCCTGCGCCCACCTTTGAACAGCTCCACGGTGCGCATCTCCAAGGGGATGCCGTTCTTCTTGGCGAAGATGTAGACGGCGCGGCAGGGCTGCGACAGCAGGTCCAAGAAGAGCTTCAGGGACATGGCTGGGCGGCGGGGAAGGCGGTCCGCGACAGCAGTGGCGGCGGGCGCAGAGCAGCCTCGGGAAATAGGGGTTCGGGCCCCGCCCCCCTGAGGCCGCAGCCAGTGGGGGGCGCGCCCCGCCCGGAGCGCTGCACGTCTGATCCCGCCATCGCCCCGCCCGGCCTAGACCCGGGTCCTGGTCCCTGACCCGTCCGTCCCCGCCCAGACCCGGGTCCCAGGGGACGTGCGGGAGAAGACAGCTGCCGGCCGGGGTGGGTGCTCGCCCTCTGCATCTCCCCCTATTCCAGGCACGGCGGGAGGGGCGCGGGGTCAGGGAGACCACTGCCGCCGATCGAGCCGCAGGGCAGGAATGCCCCCCAGAGCCTCCCTCCCCTCTCTTTCCTCTGCTGGCTCTGCCCACCGCACCCCGACATCCTCCAGGCGCCGCAGGGACGGTCGGGGCTGGGCGCCCGGCTCAGCGAGTCTTTCAGAGCAGCCCATCCCCCGGCCGCGACCTAAGCAGGTGATCGGATGGCGTCCCGGGTATTTTTGCAACTGGAACTCGGGAGAGAGGAGGTCCCTCCGGGGAGGTACAGGTGGGCGTCAGGAGCTGGGACCACCGGTGCTCACACTTCCGGAGCTCCCGAGCAGGCTGGCCTGACAGGAAGGAGCTCACTGCGAGGAAAGGAGAGGTGAGAAGAGAAGCAGGTTCTGACCCCAGTTCCCTCTGCCGGCCAGCTACACGCCGCCCGCCCCCCCCCCCCCAACTGGCGGGCTTGCCTGAAGATCCCTCTTTTTGCCTAAACCAGTTGGCATTGAGTTTCTGTCCCTTCTAGGGAAAAGAATTCTGACAAATAGCAAAGAGGTTCCAGGGGGTCCCTGCTACACAGCGCCAGACACTTGGCTGACTCGTGTCCTCCAGGTGTGTGGCAGGGGGACCTGGGAAGCCCGGAACTTGGCTTTTTAGCTGGGATTTCCAAGCAAAGAGGTGAAGGTCTAGCCTGGGTAACTCTTCCTGCCTGTAGTGAGTCAGTGAGGAGAGAGCGAATGAGGAGAACTGGCAAGCAAACCAAGAGCCAGGACTTGATGATGTGGGGAATTTTCAGTTTGTCCAGATTGCAAAAAACACTAAGTCAGGAAAGCACAACCCTCTCTCTGTCCTGAGGGTCACTGAGGACTTTTATCTGTGCACACCTAGGCTCCTATGGGCTTAAAGGGTGTGTGTGCGGGGGTGGGTGGGGGTGGGGTGTGTATGTGTGTGTGTGGTGTGGTGCATATGTGTGCAGGGGTGTGCATTGAGAGCAAGGAGGGCACAGTAGAAAGAACCTGAGTTTAAATCCTGGCTGTCACTCATTAGTTACATGACCTTGAGCGTGTCATTAACTTCTCTGAGTCCTGGTGCCTTTGCTGTCAAGTGACGATGAGAATTCCTCTACTCGCAGGTCTGTTGTAAGGCATAATTTTCAAAATATCACTAAAAATCTCTGAGCCCTGGGCCTCAATAGGTGTTCGCTTCTTTCTTTCTACTGTGCTTGCGTTTTTATCACTGTTTTCTGTGCATGCTTTCACATTACAAAGTCCATCTATTTGTAATTTGAATGGCTGCAGAATGTTCCATCCAATTGCTATATGGGCCTGTAAGTGATATTTGATGTGTCACTAGACTTGACTCCCCAAATAGGCACATGCGTCAGTCTCTGTGCCTTTGCATGTGACACACTCTCTGCCTGAAAGAAGACCCAAGGCCACCTCCGCTCACTGTCCTAGCCTCCAATCCTCCTTGGAACCTCAAACCCCCCAGGACGGCGCTTGGTCCACACCTTGAGGTCGGGACCTGGAAGGATCCATTCCACGACCCCAGTCTAACAGAGCAGTGAGAGGTGAGGAAAAGAGCCTCTCGGGCTTTGGGTGGGATGGGCCTGCAAACAAGGGCCATTTTCAGTTTCTGTGAGGAGGGTCCCCATGAGGCAAAGTCTGGGTGAACCAGGCACAAGCTTCTAGAATCCCCTCCCATTGGAGTCACACAAGGCACGCTTAATTCCCCCCAGCAAGGAGCTGTGACAACATGTGTGCAGTGTTGCCAACCAGGGAAGCTCATTAGAGACTCAGTGCCCAGGGGTTATACTGGGGAATGATCCTGCCTGGCACGTGTCCAAACTCTAGACTCCCAGAAGGAAAGTTTGTGTTGAGCATAAACCGTATTGTTAGCACCGACGGTTTAGGTACAGGGAGCCACTCTGGATGTCTGAAGCTGATGGTGGGAAGCCTCCCAAGTCCACACCGCCAAGGGCCAGCCTCGACAGCAGCCCTTTCCAAGAACAGCAGTGAGGCCTGTGATGTCAACTTTTCTCTGTACAGCCCACCCCATAGCCCTTGGCTGGGGTGTCTCTACAGCAACATTATTACCAGGAGGACCCCATACAGCTGGGTGAGGCCAGTCTGCAGTCTGATCTCCGTTATGCCTTTGAGGGGTCCTGGACTTAGCCAGTCTAAACAAAGCCCATTCACCATAGAGCCCATCTTAGAAAGCCGGGGGGCTTCCTCCTTCAGCTTCTGTATGAGCCTTTTTATCCGGTCTGAGGCCTCAAATCAAGCACAGCACAGCTCTGGTAAGTTGAAGGTAATCTGAATGCCTTCCAGAGCTGTCATTAAAATCAGGGCACACACACAAGACCAGCCTCAGAGGGCACACGTGGTCCCCCTGGAGCAGAGCCCCAGCAGGACATGCATCAGTCAGGCCGTGGGGAGAATAGGCCGCCACGTGGCCTCCCACCATGGGGGTCTCAGTCCAGTCCTCAGGATTCAGGGCAGCCCTTGCTTTCAGAGTGACTGCCCGAGGGGGTCAGCTCCCAACAGTTTTGCTTGTCTGTGACAGCCGTTCATCCCCCGCACCAGTGTTGGTGACATCTGGAGGTGCTCAGCGTGGGAAGTGCAGGAGCTGGGGCCACCCCCGATCTCTCCTGGTCACCACCTGTCAGGTGTGATCAGAGGCTCCCAGTGGGAATTCAAAGCAGTCCCAGCAGCTTGGAAAGCTCCTTCAGGAAGAGGGGAAAGCTTCAGGAACAAAGATCGTGACTGCCCTCCTCCTCTGCCCCCCCACCTCCCCACACCTCCTCAGGTGCCTGGGTGTTGCTTTTTCCCTCGTTATAAAATCGGGCTGTCCCATTCAGTACTTAAACTTTTCATCCCCTGTTTTCTCCCAGATCTTTGTCTGGAAAGGCTGTACGGAAGAAGGACAGAGGCATTTTCACAGAGAAACATTTTTGTACAACCTGACCAGAAAGACACATCATGTTCAGAACAAAATCGTAAATTTTCAAATAGGTTTGCATAACCTCTCACCCTTTTTGTCCCGATTCTCTAACCAGTGAGGAGCCAGGAAGAGATCAACCTTTTTCTGAGCACAGCGGAGTTAACAGTAAACTGCCTCCCTGAGGCGTGTGCGCCGGGGGAAACGTGAGGGGCCCAGAGTCGGCCGTCAGTCCCTTGCTGTAAACTGCAGCTCACCCAGAAAGCCATGAGCCAACAGCAGTGAGACGTCCTCGAGATGGGGCAGGGAGTCCCATCTGGGCGGAGAGGTCACAGTCCCTGCGACCTGCCCGCCCCTGAATCCCGGTTTGTGGGACCCACACACTAGGTCAGTCTCGGTATCTGATACACAGCCGGTCAGCAGATGAGCCTAGCAGAGAATAAGCCGCTTCGTGTGGGCACTTGTAGGTGACCCCGTCAGTCCAGCCAGCATCCAGGACGTTTAGCGCCCCACAGAGGGTTGTCCAAAATCTGCAGCATCCCCAAGGCTGTGGTGCCAACCTACCCCCCACTTTTAGTCGGGCACAGCTTGTGCTGAGGCCAAATCTGCCCAGAACCTGCAGTACCGGATTTCAGCCTAGAGTCAAATCCGGGCAATGAAGATCTGATCTGTGTATTCAGGACTCCAAAAAGGCCAGTGGCTTTTCTTCAATATTTCCAAGGGTCACACAGCCGGTTCCAAGTCCAGGTGGCAAACAAGGTTCTCCTGAGTCCTTTTCACCTTGTCCAACTTAGAGTCTGAATTGACCCCTCAAAAATACGCCCATCAGGGGGCTGGCCCGGTGGCGTAGTGGTTGGGTTCGTGAGCTCCGCCTTGGTGGCCCGGGGTTCCCAGGTAAGTATCCCGGGCGTGGACCTACACCACTCATCACGCCATGCTGTGGTGGTGTCCCACATACAACAGAGGAGGATGGGCACAGATGTTAGCTCAGGGCTCATCTTCCTCAGCAAAAAGAGGAAAACTGGCAACAGATGTTAGCTCAGCTCATTTATATATATATATGCCCATCAGGCTGGAAAATCACCAGCCTTGAAGGGTCAGACATCTAATTTCACAAGAGCACTTGAGTAAAACAAATACTTTTTAAAACTCCAAATATGTATCTCCATGTAGAGACCGCCTCTCTTTTCCATGTCATCTTCCTTTTTCCAGAGGCTCTGATAGGCAAAAATCAACAGCCACAGAGACTTGTTCTGTTGTCAATACTCAAAGAATTTAAATTTTAACAGGCCCACTGGCAAAAAGCAAGGAAGTTGTGTCCCACTGGTACTTATTTTGCCACTTTCTCTGATTGGGATGATCCCTCTAGCATTTTCGAAATGAAAGTATATACCATTTTACGCCAATTTCACTCAAGATCTAGGTGCAACAGCCTCAAAATACGAAGCTGTTTTTAAAAATTCTTCCTTTTTTCTCATTGAAAATTTGCTCAAACTCCTAGCAGTAAATCCAGTATTTCCTGGGATACCATCACAGGCTCTGGGGAAGCTCCAAGCTGCAATCTGTGGCCCGCAGGATTGCAGCTGGCCTAAAGAAGGCTGGAGGGGTTTTTCTCCCTTTCCCCGCTCTGGTTTATCAAAACGTTCACATCAGCCCTGTGAACTGATTAACATTTTTTCCGCTCTCACTTGGAGGAGCAAGCAACACAAACTTATAGCATTTTTGGCCCATCCAAAGCTGACCTTTGAGAATTTGGGGGCCCTTTCTTCTCCCACATGGAGGAGTGAACA